TCAGAGCAAACTTGATACATGGACTAGAGGAATTTCATATTGATGCTCCAGACATCACATCCGCCGTCATTGTTTTGAGCCATTCTGGCGCTTTCTTAGCGATTTCACTTATGAGCGATTATACAAAGCATAACTATGTGCTTAGCAATTTTTTGCGGAAACTTCCTTGAAAATTAGTTGGTTGCCTTGCATTCTTATTGTCTTCTGTGTTGCTGAGCACTGAAAAGTTAAACTTTTTGATAACCTTTTCAATTTCAGCAGAACAATTCAGCAGACCTTTTTGGTGATTTTGGTACTCCTTCAAAGATAGGCTCAAAAGCAACGTCTTCATCTAAATCGGTAATTATTCTGAAAGTAGTCTTGCATTGACACAAGTTACATTTTTCTCCTTGTATCTTATTCAGACGGTTTCTACAAACGGAAGTTCTCTCAATACCACAAAGATTGGCAGCACCTGGGCTGACGCGAGCAGTTTAATCGACTTGGATAATCTTGCGGCCAAGAACACTCCAGTGAAGCAGAATCCATCTTTGAACCAAATGCAAATGGTCAAACAAAGTGGGTTGCCAAACATTACCCTTCTTTAAAGTAATATGCTCCTCCTTCTTTAAAACATAACAACGTTAGATTATGCTTTTCAGTGAAATTATATCTGCTTCAACAGATATAATTTCACTGAATTGCAGAAGTTTGCCCGCGAAAAAAAATTGCTCTCTTGGCTGCGTTCCAGATATATAAGCAGCTGCTTAAAGTAGAGGAAAAATCTTTTTTCTCTTTCGGGCTTTCGTCTAGCTAATCTTTAAATTAGCGGGGCTAGTAGCGTCATTTTTGGTGCAGGTAGGGGCATCTCGCCACAACGCGGAAATGTGTTGAACTGAACAAATATCCCCTGTAGGGACCGACAATCTCGTGGTCGTTTGAGAGGTGCTCGTGATGACGCAGAGGATACGATACAATTACTCGTTCGTAGCCATATACCTATACTCGAACAGTCTTCCAAATAATTGTGTAAGTGTGCCGCACGCATTGGACATCGACGCGCTGCGGGGCTTGAAGTACCCGCAGCGATCTTGCTTATGGCCTGGATTATGTTCTGAAAGTCTGACCATTGCCCAGATCTGCTCTGCGAGTACGCAACAATTCGCCAACCCTCCTAAGCGCTCCGAGCTAAAAATGCTACAAAGATCATGGCTTTATGGAATCTTTGAGTTTCTGCTTTGCATGCCACGAAAGAGCATCTTGGAAGGAACTACTTGAAGATGAGGATTTTCGAAATGACAATGGTCTTGATAAGCTCTTTTGAAAGCTGCCGAATCAGAATACTTTGTAACCCAAAAGCACAGTTTGGTGTTATTTTGTTGCAACTCTTGAACTGCTTGTTCGCGGCAACTATTGCAATTTTGCTTATTTTAAAGATTTAGAATT